ACTAAAGCTGCTCTGTTTTTTTGTGTGGGTGACATTTACAGCATGAGTCAGGTCCTTTGCACCTAGTAGCACAGTTGTTCACTGAGCTGGGGTAGGGGTGGAGGAGCATGGGGAAGGGGCTCGCAGCAACCTCTCTACTGCAGCAGAAACCCAGATAGGGCAAGTCAGAGCAGTAATTTGCAACACCTTGTCCTTCTTCAGGTGCTCCCATCTGAACACAGGAAGAGTTTGAGCACTTCTTCCTGCAGTGAGGTAGCCGTTACAATCTCTTCTCCTGCAGCAGGGAGGGATGAGGGGAAACTGAAGCACAGAAAAGGGAAATGGCTTGTGCCAAGGACCTGGCTTACTAATCCACTGTTTTGACCACAATAGCTAGTCCCTGTTCCCATTGCACATCAGCACATGTCAAGTTCTTTACTTCTGTATCCTCGCACTGGGATGAAGTGTAACAGTGTTCCCATGAAAAGAGGCTGCCTTGGTGTCTTGCATAGCTGTGAGGTAAGTGCAATGCCCCTAAAAACATTGGCCCCACCAAGTGGATACAGAGCTGCTGCACCTTTCTGCTGGTCCTAGATGCTGAACCCTACAGCTACTCCCTCTTTCAGTTGAGCCTGTTCCTTAATCAGCTCCTTTCTCCCGACTACGGATCTCACTCCCTCTGATTTATGCTAGTCCATTCTATTATTGTCCTTGGCAGCTCCTGTGCTCTCTCCAGCCCTTCCTTCAAGGAAAGGCGTTGTGCCCAGATTTCTACTAGGCTGTGCCCTCTTGTTAACTTCAGATTCATTGCCCCAGCTGCTAGGATTTCCTACCATCTTGAATGACTTGCTGGCAAACAGAGGTTTACTTACCTCCAAAATTCAGAATTTCTACACCAAAATCATTCCCCAAGCCTTCCAACCGTTTCTTCATTTATTACATGCTAACCACATATTAACAGCCTGGCAGGACTCCTTTAGGCTTGTAAAGATCAGGGAGGCAATCTCACAGTTGGGGGCTCAGGTTGCAGATATAGGAATCCAATCTCCCTGTCTCTGCTGGTAAGCCAGGGTTATTTAAAGGGTTGGCTCTGGCTTCTGGTAGGCAAGTTGATAGATTAGGTCAGGACAGGTTCCTATTTGCATTGCTCTTGCACAATTCTCCTGCAGCACGTGTTGTGTAACATCATCCACATCACATATAACCTCTCCTTCCATTCCTACGGTGTATACAGTCTCAGTATACTGAAGACACATGCAAAATATGATCTTCACCTGTGCACACTATAACCTCAATGGAGCCTCAGCAAAATATATAACCAAGGAGCCAGAGTATTACAGTTCAGTAACTTCTGAGAGGACAGCCCTGACAGCAACACCTGTAAATCTGCACCTGCAGTCTGATATATTCATCTAGTGAGTTACACACTTTGACTTCCATGTGCAGAAAAAAAAAAAATCTTGTACTTTGGGCATATACGCATAGATACTACTTTACTGGAATTACAGCACCAGTTCCAAACATTCAGCAAAGAGGTGACAATTCCCACCTTTAAGTTCAAAGTCACATATTTCCCAAGCACACCAAGAGCAGTCCTTTTGCCCAGCTTTCACAAGTGGTCCCTGCTGGGGCCATCTGTAAGGGAGGAGGTGAAGCAACAAAACCTATGTACCTCCACAGAGCCAAAACACAACAATGGCCCTCCATATCTTGCATTTCACCATTTCACACTGCATACAGGGTTTTTGGCTTTTAGATCTGGCTCTAGCAGATCACTGAAAGCTGATGGAGGCTAGAGGAAATTGGTGCGGAGTGTAGAAAGAAATAGGGAAAGGACAGCAAAAAGCCTCGTATAACTGGAAGTGACATTACATATGGAGTAGGGTAACTGCAGAGGAGACACTAAGACTCTCTGGGCAAGGGAAACAGGGTGAGATCAAGAATCTTGAGGCTTGGAGGCTGCAGGCTGTAGATGAGGAGAATGGGACAGATAGCTCAAACATAGCGGGAATGCAGGGGCAGCTGAGAGGGGCAAAGCAAATGAAGCTAAAATTCAAATAATCAGGAAAGAAACTATGCCCCCCACAACACACTGTTCTTTCCAAAGGCAGGGCTGGAACACATGGTGGACATTTGTGATTCTTTTGCAACCTACTCACTCTACAGTTTGGGCCCATATCCAGGATCATAACACCCTCCTACTGTCCCCTCCAGTTGTCACTTCAGCAGAGGGCATTATAAAGGTCTGAAAGGTGCTAAAGGTGCTTTCTCCAGCAGATGTCAATGTGATACCCGCAACTTCAAGCAATTTTGCTGCTGGCTTGCTGTTCGTGGGAGGTCTGATAGAGGCTTCCATTTTCAAGCTTTGGGAATGTCACACAAAATTTAAGAAAGCATTATTATGATTGCAAAGTCATATCCTCAAAAGTCAGCTTGAATTCAGACCCCTTTGTATATGCATTATGTTACTATGTAACTAGAAAATTAAACGGTTTTTTCCATAGAGCCTACTCAGGATGGACATATTCCAGTGATAAATTAACACTGTGTCAGGAAGATGACTGGAATCTATAGCA